TATCTATCTATCTATCTATCTATCTATCTATCTATCTATCTATCTATCTATCTACCTTTCTATCTATCTATCTATTTACCTTTCTACCTATCTATCTATCTATCTACCTATCTATCAATCTACTTACCTAATTACCTACCTATCTACCTATCTATCTACTTATCTATCTGTCTATCTATCTATCTTTCTGTCTGTCTATCTATCTATATCTATATCTTAATGCATAAAAATTCAAAAATGGTTGATAAAATGCTTTAACAAAGTAAATAAATAGATATATGCATAAAAGGATTGTTGAATACTAAGGCATGAAATAACCTTTGACGCATCTCTGACAGACATATTATATTGGCCTCGCCCACTCTAACGAGTAGTTTGTGAGAGGCCAGGCTACTTCTAGCCCAATATACCAATCATTTGACCTGATTTTTCTGCTTTCCAGCTCTGCGCTTTCAGATCCAAACTCTGGCAGAGCGTCTACAACTCGGCGGTTACACTCGCCGGCGCATCGGCGTCTCCTTTCTGCCCTATCCAGTCACCAGCACTCGAGAGACCTTCAAGTACACTTGGTTAGACAAGAACCGGCGACCCCTGTCCTCGACCCCGGGTCCGGACATGCATCTGCAGCTGGTCACACCGGACGACTTTGGTACCTACTACGTCCGAATAGAGGGTACCAATTCGGGCTATGAGAAGGAGTTGTCCACACACGTCAAGCTGGACGGTGAGGGCCCTGGGGAGTAAAATTGTGTTCCTAAGGATTCCTCAGTGATTTATTGTGACATGACTTTCGTGTTCGAAGAAAAATTGGTTGAAAGGAATTCGTGAAATGGTCTCACCGAGAAGATAAGGAGGATTGGGAAAACTAGTCTTCGGCCAACAGTCCTGGGACTTCAATGAAATTTCGCTATGCTTCCGTCTGTATGACTGTGTCAGGCAGTATCATAACACAACAGGTCATCAGTGTAGTGGTTTTAAGGAAATCTTGTTCACGAGTCTGGCTTCATAACTGACCGGTTGACGCTTCATGCGTTGATTAGTTGGTATCGAGACTTTGGGTTCGTCTAAAAGTATACGTTAAAGTGGTTCGTAGGTACAAACGTTCAGATTGACGCACTACATCAGACATCCGTTCTCGTTGCTGATCATTTTATCTTACGACCAGATTCTTAATCTACATGTCCCGCAACGAACTTCTGAGCCTTAAGCCCAACCGCTTCTAGCGACAGTTTTGCGTTCAGCCACGCTTTAATGAAGGGTACAGTAGGTCTCGCGTTCCGAAGAAGAACGTGGACTGTCTCTAAAATATAAAGCACTTGTCCTCTACAACTACAAAGCGGAAAGCCCCGAAACGAAGAGAGAAAAGGAACAAATTGTATTACCAATTGTCTTATTTTGAAACGGCCGACTACAGATTGGGGGAGCTGACAGTAAAAAGATAATCATTTAAAGATGGCGCCAAATAGAACATTCTTAATTTAATGGGCCACGGCGGAGCGGAGAGAGAGCAGGAAAATAACATGACCGATCTAAACAGAATGTTAGCTAATCGAAGGTACGAAGGCCAAGATGGTGTGGCCTTTTGTGTGGTCGCAGTCTCCTTTCGTTGTATACAAGTTGTTTGACCTTTTTTCGCAACTTGGAAGACTTAGAGGAACGCACCCAGTCTGGAGTCCATTGTCTGTATGATCATTTCCAACTTCGGACCGTGGACGTGGTACATTGCCAGACGTTTCGCCGTGAATGGAGGCGTGAATGGAGGATATAGGAAATGTGAATAGGCCAGGGCAGAAGAGGAGATAACACAATTGTTTAGCACACGTTTGGTCAAAGGATCGGCTTCACTTGTCTCTTTGACAAGTTGTTGTGTGGTGCTAAGAATGGCAATACTCACTGACAATGTCGACTACGATGCCGGCGAAACTTCTGGGAATGTAATACATCCACGGTCCCACTTTGGAG